AAAAAAAAAAAAAGAAACATTGTTTTTAAAGATATTAGAAATGGATCTTGATATTTTCAAGATCATTCCTGTTTATCAATAAATTTATATTAATTGGAGCACAGGACTTTATATTAGAATTCTACTTATATGCCTCATCCATACTTACCAGACTTGTCTTCATTGGCTAGGTTGGAGCACAAGTGACCGGGAGATACTTGCAGGGAATTGTAATTTGGCCCCTGCCAGGCCCCTAGCTCAAGTTCACTCTCAGGTTTTGATTGTGCTTCTAAATGTTCAGCAAAAGCCTGGGCTGCATAGGAAAAAGAATATGGAAAGGTGCATTCAGACTGTGTGAATCTTCAACGTCTTGTACCCAAGGATATTTGCCTCTGGCAGCCAAATGCAATAAAAAGTTTTGCCATGAGGTGGTTTTGCTTGATGAATATTTGTGAATTGAACCATATAAATCTGTTCTCAAATACTAGATATAATTTGGGGAAGAGTCCCCTTTCTTAACTGTATTATCTCAAGTAGGAAAATAAAATGTTGGCAGGTAAATGGGCTGTCCAGTAAAGGTTGGTCTGAATGCCTAAAGACCAGATTAGTCCAGGAGCTCTTTAATGACTATTGACTGCTTGTTTTGTAAAAATGATATTGCAATTCTCCTTTCTAGAAGGATAAGTTACTGAATGAACTTCTCTAAAATGAATCTATTCAGTGGTAGTTGAAACTAGTAAAACATTCTATGTCCTCTAGTTTAATAATGTATACTCTTACATGATCCTGGTACATATAATGCTCAAGTGCCTCATAAAACCTAAACTTTTAAAGATGCTATTTTCTTACTTTAGGAAAACTCAGAATCCAGGGTGAGGGAGAAAAGTGGCAAATGACTTCTTAAGTTAGTTCCTCTACTAATTTTCTTTCATACTTCATGGGGTTACTTGGGAATTCAGAAAGCTCTCCGTGAGCCCTGGCCCTATGCCTGGCATACAGAAGGCACTCAGTAAGTGCTACTGTCTTTGAGCCTTTGGAAAAGAGGAGAACAGTGGCTGGAATTACTGCCTAGTGGTGAAGGAACGTGAAACACAGTGGTTGCCCTTTTCAAGTAGGGTGCTCTTACTTCTCCAAGTAAATTAGACATTTGCTAGAAAGGAGGGCCGATGTGCTCAGCAGGGGTTCACTAAATAATCGTTCAGCAAGAACTCCTGGTAGTTAACTCGGCCCTTCCAGGCCACGCCTCCAGTGACCACCTCCTCTGATCAGGAGTCACCTCCCAACCTCACATTTAGCTACAACTTCATCAGTGGGCTAATCCACAGATGAGTATCACGCCCCCATGAATCACTCGCCTCCCCAAAGCCCTCCCTATGGTCACAGGAAGCTTTGGCTGGGGGATCTAGATATAAATTGTAATGTTGTATAGCGCATATGCCATGTGTAGAAATGCTTAGCACCAAACAGGACCCAAACAGCTCTCAGGACCATTCTGTTTTTTCCTTTCACTCTTCACACCTCTGGCCCTCACCTTCACATACTAAAGGATCAGGAGAAAGTTATCTTTGTCCCATTGTGAAACTGTTTGTAAGCAAAGTCCCCACAGCCATACCATGACTGTGTGCCTTTGACAGCCTGTCTGCTGCCCACTGGGGAACTGGCCACAGCCGACACGTGATTTGGCTGCCTTCCTTCCACACCTTAGCCCAGCGCTGGGTTGCTATGTTCTCTGGAGAAAGACACATTCATTTAGGCCAAACTGAATTAGCCAGGGCAGTCGGCAGCCAGGAAGTCATGTGCTACCTTCCCAAACCAAACAGAAATTAGTTTTAGATCATTTCCCTGTTCAGTATTTATCTATGCCCCAGCTCCCTCCTGTTAGGGCATGAGAGCAGATTGGCTGTAGCCCATTAATGGGTATTTAGCAAGTCTGTTGCCAGGACAGACCTCTGAGTTCTCATTTGTGAGGAGTGGTTAGATTCAGCCAGTTGTCAGCTATGGCAGCACGTTGGAATCCCTTGGGAGCTCCCAAGTCTCCTGCTCAACCCCTCAGAACCTGCAGGTGGCCCCAAGTATCGGTGCTGTTTATAGCTCCCTGTGGTTCCAGGGTGCAGCCCATGGTGAGAACCAGTGAGAGTTGGTCCCAAAGCTTCCTTCTGTCTCTAATTCCAGGGGCAGTGACCTGGAAGGAGGTACAACCTACTGCTTAATTAATTCATTAATATAGGAATTGTGGCAATGAACATTCCAGCAATTTTATAACTATAAAATTTTTTAATTTCCTCCTCTCAGTCGTGTTCTTCTTTGGCGCCTTGGACACTGTGTTTGGACTCATAACTAATATGTTTTTCCTGTATAAATATTTGTTTATTTCATTAATTTCTCATAATGCCTTGTTTTTGCTTCTATGTTTGTGGCAGGCATACATTTCATTGACTTGGTTAACTTTTCTTTATTACTCTATCATAGAAATGAGCTCCTGAACTATTTATACCTGGTATTTAAGTACTAGATGCATTTTACATGTGTCCACATAACCACTACCCAGATCAAGATATATTTCCATCAACCCAGTCTCCCTCACATCCCCCCGAGTGAACCCTTTCATTCTCCTCTAGCTTAGCCTCATTCCTCTTCCCTTGTTCCTTCTCTAGAAATGATCTCATTTTCTTCATCATCCTGCCATCAGGGCAGAAGTCAACTTTAGATATGGTTCAATAATCTATTTATGTGTCCCAAAACATCACAGAATGTAATGGCTAAATGCAAGACATTGTCACGTCTCCCATTTTTGTGGATTGACAGGGCTTTGTGT